AACAACAAAACCATAATGTTCATAAAAAACAAACTGGATCCAGCTTAGAAGCACTAGTCTAGGTATAATGACACTGCCAAATACAACCAGAAATGCACAATCTAAAGAGGATAAAATTGATGCATGGGACCTTCAAAAGATTAAATCCATGTGTGCATCAAAACCTTTTTCCAACAGGGCGAAAAGAAAACCTATAGACTGGGAACAAACTTTTGGTAATATCATCTCAGACAAGAGTCTTATAACAAAAGTTTACAGAATACTCCTGGGCCTCCACAAGAAAAAGACTGATAACCCAATTACAAAATGGGCAAAAGACATGGAAAGAATTTTCGGAGGAAGATATCTGAATGGTAAACAGACACATGAGAAAATGCTCTAAATCACTGCAATAACAGAGATGCAAATCACAACCACAATGAGGTACCATCTCACTCCCATAACAGTGGCAAAGTTTAACAGGGCAAAAAAGTAATAAATGTTGGAGAAGATGTGGTGAGAAAGGAACTCTTACACATTGTTGGTGGGACTGTAAAATGGTATAAACATTCTAAGGCAGTTTGGAGCTTCCTCAAAATGCTGAACAAAAAAATTTCATATGACCCAGCTATTCCACTACTTGGAATATACCCTGAGAACATAAGAACTGAGGCACAAACTGAGCTTTGTACAACAACGTTCACAGCAGCATTATTCTCCATCACAAGAACATGGAAACAGCCCAAATGTCCAAGCACAAATGAATAGACTGAGAAATTATGGTACATTCACACAATGGAATACTATGCAGCACGCAGGAGCAATGATTTTGTAAGTTATTACTTAACTTGAGAGTAACTGGAGAGCATTATGCTGAGTAAACTAAGTCCCACAAGGATAAATATTGTAAAAAAGAATTATTGTAATGCTCATCTAGATGATAACATAATTATGATAAAAACAAAAGGGGGTAATATGGGAAGCCAATACTAAATATTTGTAATAAACTGAATGCCATTAAAAAAAAGCTAACAGATGCTGCCCTGGACATGCTCACCAAGTTGTGCCAAGAAATTTGGAGAACAACCACCTGGACAACTGACTGGAAGAGATCTGTATTTGTTCCCATCCCAAAGAAGGGTGACCCAACAGAGTGTGGAAACTATAGAACAACCTCATTAATTTCATATGCAAGCAAGATTCTACTGAAGATTATCCAAAAAACGACTGGAACAGCACATCAGCAGAGAACTACCAGAAGTCCAGGCTGGGTTTAGAAGGGGTCGTGGTACTAGGGATATTGTAGCTAATGTTTGACGGATCTTAGCTGAAAACAGGCAATACCAGAGGAATGTCTATCTGTGTTTCATTGACTATGCAAAGGCGTTTGACTGTGTGAATCATAACAAACTGTGGCTCACTCTGAGGAGAATGGGAATTCCAGAACACTTGATCGTGCTAATGCAAAATCTATACTTGGACCAAGAGGCAGTTGTCAGAACAGACCAAGGGAACACTGCATGGTTCCAAATTGGGAAGGGCGTATGGCAGGGATGTGTCCT